CACTCACCATGACTTTGTGCTGCCCCGTGAGGTTGGGAGGCTCGCAGAGGAGCTGTGTCTCGGACACGGTGACAGCACATGGGGTCTCTCCAATCAGCACTGTGTAGTTGAGTTTGGCACCTCCAGAAGCGGGAGGGCAGAGGTTTTTGCCCTGTAGATAACAGTAATCTTAATAGAAATAATTGACACATGCGCGCAAAAGTTAATTGCCTACTACCAAAGAGATTAAAGAGGTGGGAGAAGGGCAGCCAAGCAAAAGCCAATAGATGGCTTCCCGGGAAGTTTTTGGAGAAAACTTCGAACAGCCACAATTTAGAGAGCCAAAGGGAAAATGTGGGGAGGAGAGAAAGAAAGGCAGGAAGAGATGGGGAAGAAGACAGGAAGGGGAGACCACACGGCGAACAAGTGAAAATCTGGAGGAGGGCAGGTGGGATATAAACAAAAGAAACAAAACAGGTGGACGGATCGTACCAGGGAACCGTGACCTCTTGAAATGTGTGTGCAGGTTATGGTGGCCGGGGAAGTGGACGATAAAAGGAAATGTTTACTTCCGATGCACTGCAGAACCCTGGGGTCCCAAAGCTCACAAGAACAAACAGAAATACCATCAAGGGTTTCTCGAGATCCCAAGTGCGAGATCTACGGCTGGGTGAGTCCATATCTATAAACAAGCTCCCTTGGCAGGGAGCTAGTAGCTCTGTGAGTCTGCGTGCACACAAAGGTGAAGGGAAGGGCCGGGGGCGTGGGGGCCTGTCGCCATCACCGTGCATGGCAGGCTACACTCTGCACATCCTACCTTCAGAATGATTGGGGATCCTGGCTTTTGATCCAGGACTCCAGTAGGGCTGAGCAGTTCAAAGGTTGGGTTGGGGTAGTAGATGAACTTAGTGTCGTTGTAAATGAGCAGGGACTGGACGTTGTTAAAGACGAAGCCGAACTCATCTGGCCGCTCCACGGCGTCCAGGCCGGGCCGGTAGTCCGTGGTCAGAGAGGGCGCCAGGCAGGTCAGGGTGGTGGTGTTCACGACTTTGCACACCTAGGAGGCCCAGAGTGCGGCACTGAAATGCAGACTGAGCGAGGGTGGGGGGTATCATGCTACTGCCTCTCACGCTGTCTGCTTTGGTGGTCTTCATTAGATGGTGAGCCCCTTGAGAAAAAGGGCTGTGAAATTTCTGAGGGGGGCATGCATTTTAACGTCATTCATTCATTCATTCATTCATTCGCCAACATTGTTCAAGTGCCTAGTCTGTGCCAGGCACTGTGCTAGGACCCGGGGCCCACTAGCGACATCATCGTCGTCTGCAGGGGGAGACACAGGACCGAACATGCTTTATAACACAGTCCTGGCGGGGGGCCTGGTGTGCAGAAGGGGCTGGAGGTCTCCCTGGTAAATGCATGAATGGGTGTGAGAAATGCTCGGGTGGGCAAGGACCAGGTAGGGTGGGAGGATCTGTGTGTGAGTGTGCATGGCTGTGGCCTGAGGATGACTCAGGGACGCTGTCCCTTGGAAGAAATGAGTGTACTGTAATCTGAAAAACGAGTGGGACTCACCTAGACAAGGGGTGGGGTGGGGTGTGGGGACAGGTCCCAGGCAGGGGATGAGGGAGCATGGGATGTCTGAGGACACAGCAGGACAGGGGCAGTGTAAGGGCTGTGTGTGTGTGTGTGTGTGTTGGGGAGCAGGAAGTACCATGAGATGAGCCCTCCACCAGGACCCAGTAGGTGTTCAGTTAATGTTTATTGAATACACTGATGAATAAAAAGAACCTTTCAACTCTTTGAACGTTCTATTCGGGATCTCTCTCTTCTGCTGCCTCACTTGGCACAAGGGAACAGCCCAAGTACTGACACTGAGTTCATGATGTCCTTTCTTTCTGGGTAGACCCTGATGTCCCTACGAGAATCCTAGCTGCGTGGGCCCTACTGAGCAGGGGCTGTGCAGCCCCCTCCTCTGGCGGTTTCGTTCCAGGGCTGCCAAGGCAGCGGCCAGCCCCAAGGAGCCACCGCAGAACCCCCGGGGGGCTTGCCGACAAAACCTGGCCTCCCACCCCCTCCTCCTGGCTTGCGCTCCGCGCGCCCCGGTTCGGGCTTCGGGTGTCCCGGCCTGTGGGCATCTGGGAGACCTCGGCCGCACAAGTACACGCTGTCCTGGCAGGTCCATACATGTGTGAGTCCAGCCAACAGACACACACACACGGGCTTCATGTTCTGAAAACAAGACCGTGTGTGAAACTGCAGAAAAGCTGACAGTTGCACAGAGATGATGTCAGAGCTCCGAGTCCAAGGATTAACCCCCACGTTCCAGGAGGAGTTGAAGAGTTTCATCAGAACTGCTCACTGAGGGCCTCACGCCCTGTTGGAGGACAGGGCCCATTCCCGCCCTTCCCACGCAAACCGCAGCGGTCCCGCATGAGATGGCCGGCCCCTTCGTGGTCCCGCTGCCTACGCTCTGGCGGGAGGAACACAGTGGGGGTGTGGGGGGAGCAGTCAGGGAGTCTCGGACCCTGGGCTCTGCGGGGCAGCGCCGCTTCCCTCCGCTCCCCCATCTCCGTCCGTGCTCATGCCGGCGCCCCGGACTGGACTCCTCCCTGAATAAGCAAATCATCCCCGAACAAGCAGCCTCTGTTTGCCTCCTGCCCAGTCAGTGCTGCATCGGCACTTTGTTTGCCAAACATTCCTTGGGGTTTTGTGGCCTTCGCTTTGGCCCTTCTCACTTCTCCCTGGGGCTGCTTCAAACCCCAGAGGCAGAGGGAGCCCCAGGGCGCTGAGGATGACCTGGGGCCCAGGCGGGGCCCCCCGCGGGGCAGAGCCCTGCTTCCCCCACCACTCCTGACAGAGAAGGCGCGGGGCAGCGATTATGAGCTTTCCAGGTGCGGAGCCAGGCTTGATGAAACCCGCACACCAGGCCTCTCCTCCAGGCACGCCGGCCTGCAGACCCCGGGCAGGTCACGGCTGAGACCGAGACCCCCAGCTCTCCACAGGGAGGGATGACTCCGCAGCTCCTTGAAATACGGAGGGCATGGGGGTGGGGGGGCTGGGGGAATTGCTTGGGAGAATCCTGGCCCGGGGGCTGCAAGCGTACCCTGGTGAGGGGAGGGGACATTCAGGACTTTAGTCTTTCCAGATGGAGGTGAGGTACAAGGAAAGCCTTCCCAGACCAGTGTTCTCTTCCCATGGCTTCCTGGGGACGAAGGTTGCAGGCTTTGGAGGTTAACCTCGTCAATCACATACTTACTCTGTACCACGTTAACCATGTCTTTTACTTTCTGTGTTTCTGATGCTCTGACATCTGGGGCCTTACTGACCTGGAGGACCTCCCCTCCCGGGGCCAGCCAGTACCTAGAGACAGCAAACAGCTTGCCCGCCTGCCAGAGCATGCTGTTCTAATGCAAACTGATCCGTGCAGAGCCCACACCCCCCACCACCTCCCCTTACACGCAACCATCCACCGTGTCTAATCACACCAGCCAAGTACAGGGCAGCTAGGGACAGCCCCTGCGCCCCAGAGCCCTCAAACAGTTCAGACCGGGCAATCCTAAACCTACTTATCTTGCCTTGTCGGTTCCTTCCTGCAGAACTTCCTGCCACAGTGCCTTTTTCTCCCTCTGCTTCTACAACCCTCCCTGGCGCTTCCCACTTGGCCCCCCGTGGTGTGGCAGGCCCCCTCCCCTGCGGCTCTATGAATATAACAAACTGTCTTTCGATGGCAGTTGTCTCCTATTCTGTTGGCCCTGTCACACCTGAGTCATAATAAAACCTATGTTTCAAAACACGTACCTAATTTGTGTAGGGGTTTTATCCTTCCTGAGTGCGAGCGCACTGTTCCCATGGCCACCCCTCACCTTCCTTCCTTCCACTTGGGCCCTGGAGTTTGACAAGGTGGTCTGGGAGCTACTGGGAGCTACTGGCCTCGGTCTGGAAGTGGAGTGGAGACATAGGCTCTTTTACTCATGGATTAGACTCTCCATCTGGGATAAGGAGACGTGCTCTCCTCACCCACAAAGTGTGACCATGGTTGCTACTAAAGTTGTGATACGGGTAACCCCGCGTGTCTGCCACGAAAGAATGTCATCACCAGATCAGCAGCACCTCACCTGGTCTAGTCATGAAGAGTCCAGGTTTTGGGGACCCAGCTGGCCCTGCTACCAGCTACCTTCGTGGTTGGGGGGCAAGCCATTACTCCTTTCTGGTCTCCATTTCCCCAGCTAGACAATGAAGAGGGGGTGGGTGGACCAGAGGATCCCTGTAACCTTTTCAGATCTAGCCTTCAAACACTGTGCATTTTGTGCCTTTCTGCATTTCCTAAGGAAGCTTCTAGCATGCTGGAAAGCCTGTCAGGGATAAGAGGACAGATACAATACCATCTTTCCCATCTCCATCACAACCTACTCAATCCCCTGAGGTCAGAGCAGTAATAATAGCAATTATACAACAAATAACGGGCATAATAGCATCTCCTGGACTATAATTATGAATACAATCGTGTTTCAGAAAATATTGGCTAACGAGACTGAGATGGAGCCACTAGAACAAACTAAAAAAAATTTATAATGCCATCTCAGACATTCTGCTTTTACGATCTAGAACTTCTTTAAAAAAATCACAAAAATCCATAGCGAAAAAAAATTAAATGACACGGCTCCGCATAGGGGAGTAAAGTCAAATGCTGGACCGACCATCTCAGCCACCGGGCTGGAAGGAGCTGCGTGCAGTGACTAAGGTTTGCTGGCCGCCCACCCGGTGCCCGCCAAGGGCTGCGTGTTACAGATCTGCAAGGAGAGTCTTATCATTAGCATTTACAGGCAGAGAATAGAGGATCACAGAGGTTAAATGACTGGATCACAGTTGTATAGCTAATAAATGGTAGCGTCCCGCTTCCAATTCAGAAGGGTCTGAATCTGGAGGCAGAATTCCTTCACCCTTTCACACTGCTTCTTATCGGACCTCAAAGTGAACACGGCATATGAAACCGGAGCCTGTCTGTGCTGGTCTCGCAAGCTCAGAAGCCAGTACATTTATAGACTCGTCGTATCGCCTTCTGACGAGAAACGATTATACAGTAGTTCTAAGAGTCACTGTAAGGTTCAGGTGTTTGGGGCCCTGATTCTGGGCTCGGGGTCTTCAACTAACTTTCTTTTCCAGTAGGTGGATGCTCCCGGGCTAACACGGACCTCAGCACATCACAAACGCAGACAGATGACTGTGGTTACGGAGGGCCAGGCAGACTAGGGGGTACTCACATTGACAGATTCCTTGCCATTAAACTTGACTCGGACCCTTGGCTCCTGAATGACATCCAGGTTGAAGCCTGTGATGGTCAGGGGTGTGTGGCCGCTGGGAACAAGCAAAAGCTGGGTCAGGTTAAAAGCCCCCTCAAGCTGCGAACCCCCGCCACCCTGGGTCCCCTCACAAGTCCCACCTGGCCCAAGGGGTTAGGTCAGGTGGCAGCCGGGCGCCTCCCTCCCACCTCTGCCTCACCTGGCAATGCTCCACTCCGGCTCAATGCGCTGCACCCGGGGGTCGTCTATGTACTCGAACTGCAGGTTGTTATCCACGCGGGCTCGGTCGACACTCACGGAAACTGGGACTGGGCCCAGTCCGTTGGATGACGGGGGTGAGACGCACACAATCTCATTCATTGACCTCCTGACGGGGAGACAGCAGGAGGGTGGTGAAGAAAGGCCTGGGCAAGGAGGAGAGCTCTCTGGCTTGGGAGGGGATTTTCCTCGGTCTGAGGGTGTGGATGGCCCAGAAGTGCTCTCTTCTTTCCTACTCTACACAGTGGAACAGATCCCTTATTGGTGTGTATCGGTCCCTCTTTTTACTGGAGAGCCACCTCTGGTTGGAATATGGAGGGAACGAATTAGAGAGGGGGATTAGAGAATGTGGGGCAGGGGCAGGGCTTTACGGGCTCTGGGGGATCTTTTCTTTTCTGGATTTTTCTAGAATAAACTAGTTAGCCAGGGTTTAAGAGTCTGGTCAGTCATTTAATAAATATTCACTGAGCACCTACTACACAGAGAAAGAAACACACAGTTCCTTCCTTGCCCTTAGGGAGTTTCTAATCTGAAGAGGAGATAATTGGATAATCCTGAGCATGTTGGGTTTTCACCCATGGGTTCTGTCAGGATGCTCTCAGGAGTCTGTATATCCCCAGGGCTTCACTGGTGTATCTGGCGAATAGCAGGTGTTCGGGTTTTTATGCACAAGAGATGCCCCGAGGATGAGTGTGTGTGCTTGCTGAGGACTGAGGCCACCCAGCCTCCATGTCTCTCAAGTCCCCCTAGTGGGGACCTTGTCAGTGCTCGGTCCCAATGATGACCAAAGAGTTTCTGGGACTTTCCTCACCAGCAGTTCTCAGGGCCCTCATCCTAATTATTTTTAGAAGTATTCAGCCCCTTGTTAGGTTCGCTAGTGGTATATATTGCTATAAACTGAGTAGTAGTATATATTTCGCACAGGGACAGGAATGGCGTTTGGACCCAGGACGTCCACGCCATGGAAGCAATGGGGCGGGCACCTGTGTGAACATGCCCAGGAGCAGGTGTGCGCACGCCTCATGCGTCCAGCCTTCTAGGGCTCCTGTGAGCCCATCTTACCCATAGAACTCGCAGGTCTGGTTGCCCAGGTATACGGCCACGCTGCTCCCAGCCCCGAGGTAATGGCCCGTGATGGTCACCATGGTGCCTCCCGATTCTGGCCCTCGGATGGGGTTGAGTGACAGCACGGAGGGGTTCTTTGGAAAGAAGCAGAGAAACAGTCACAGCTCAGGTTTTGCCCAAAGTGACAGACCCAGGCTCGACGTAAGGACCAAAGGAGGGACTGTGTCTATACTCGGGGTACAGGCACTTTTCCTGCCCTTTCTAATCTCTTCTCCTGGAGCTGAGACTGCTTCTAAGAAGAGGCTCTGGCATGTCCAGGGAAGGCAGAAGGACCACGTCGTAGAATTAATTAACTCCCTGGGGAATCTCATGCCCCTAACATTGATGGGAAGGCAGAGGTAACACTGACTAATCTATCAGTTAGTTTACAAATTGAGAGCAATTTGAAAATGCTTCTCTATCTAGAGCCTGTACTGATTTTTTTGGCATAAAATCGATAAGGCTGAATAAAGCATCCTTGTCTAGATTGGGCCACCAAGGGGCTAAAGTCTTCCATTAATGGCCCACGCACGTGTCGTGTCCCCTCTGAATGGCCCACGTGAGGCGCACCGCAGGGGGCCTGGTGCACAGAGCTGTCAGGGAATGCTTGACATGGCTTCCCCAACCTTCATCAGGAGGATGATGAAGTCAGTGACTAGGACTTTCTAGGAAACTCACTAAGCTGTAAAATTAAATCTGAAGCTTGAAAGAAATGTCATCTGGTCTGTAGTGCCCCAGGCAGCTGACCCAAGTCAGAAAGGAACTGCTCCTGCTTAGAGGACAGGGGAGTGGAGCGGAAAGCGCGTTTAGCTGAGCAGCTACACCTGCAAGGATCTGAGTCCTCATTAGCCATTCACTGTTCATGGGCCCTGAGGCAAGTTTCTGGATCATTCTGGGCTTTTGTTTGCTCCCATGTTGAGAGGAGGGTGGGCTCCGTGATCTCTAAAGCCCCTCCCAGCTCAGACATCCTACAGTTCTGTCTCCACCTGAGACCCTGTCCTGCGTAGGAGACGCGGTAGGCTGCAGTACTCTCCAATCTGAGAAAAAGACCGGTGGGATGAAAAGGGCAGAGATGCCAAGATAAGAAGGCAGAGCCTGGAAAACCGAGAGCAAGGAGTGAAATGCTTTAGAGAGAATAAAATTTTGTGGTCTAATGATTTTCCAAAACTCTTAGCAAGGCTGGCTTGACCCCATCGGCTGGTGTTAACACATTTTAATGAGCAACTCAGTGTGGTGACATAGATGTGTGTCAGAGGAGGGCCCCCGGGGCCCCCGAGGCACGTTACTGATTCGGTGGGAAGATCCCCAGAACGCTATTGATTCAGTAGGAAGATCATGCCGGCCTTAAAGAAAGCCTTTGTAAATCTACTACCTGCTGCCTGAGTGTGAAGAGATACTTTCAGGTGTGAGAATGGTGAGAATGCGCATGTGTGTGCGTAACCACCCCACCAGACAGAGAGCAACTCACGCGTGCACCCCGCTCCCGTGGCCCTGCTGCAGACACACGTCCCCGTGGGATTTGAAGTGACTTTTCTAAACTCCCACGTACAATATCCTTGGCAGAAAACAAAGTACGTGGATAAATACAGACCCTTTTAATTAGGTCCCTCAGGCGATGTGTCCTCATTAGGCTGGATGAGACTAAGATGTCACATTGGCGGGACAAGGGGCAGCCCCTCCCCACCCTACGGGTAGGATCCACTTTCTAAGAAAGGCCTGATTTTGCCTTATTTAGCACTCTGATCTGTGGCTCTCTGGGACTCTAACAGCATTGTTAGTCACACATCAGTCCCACCGCTGGCTTGGGAGGGGGGTGTGGGACTTCCCGGGAGAAATTTGGAACAGAAGTGTGCCCCTGCTGGGAGCTCATAGCCCTGTGCAGGACCCAGCACTCACCACAAAGGTGTACTGTTGATGGGACTTGGTCATGAACTCTGGCTTACACTCGCCAATGCACAAGCGCACGGGCCCGGAGGTGGTTCCCACGAGGGCATGGCCCATCTCACAGACGATCCTGAGGAGAAAGCAAAGCTTCCCGTGAGAGGCCTCGCCAGAGCCGTCATTCCTGCCCGCACTGCTCACCCCCAGCCCACTGGATGACTCCTCACACCCTTGCATTAGTGCTATACCAAGACTCAGCTTGCTCACCCATCTCGCTGTGTGACCCTAGGTAAAGTGCTTTCCCTCTCTGGGCTTCAGCCTCTCATCTGTACAGTGAGAGGCTGAATGAGATCACCTCCAAAGCCTGGTGTGCCTCCAGACGCTATGCTGCCTAATTCTCTGAATAAACCCGTCTTCCCAGTGCCGAGTGCAGGACCTAGCGCTGGGTAGCTACCCGGTCTTTGTCGGACAAAACCCAATGTCCAACAGAGAGACCTAGGGGCGGTCATTTAGTTAGCATTCTTTCCTGTGTGATAAGCCAAAATTGGAACTCTCCCAAAAGGAGGGAGGGAGGGCCTATTTGCCAAGCTGATTTAATTGTGGTTTGTTTCCGACAGTGAGTTTTAAAAAGGGACTAGATAATCTGGTGAGACAGTGAGCGCCCCAAACAGGAGCTCCCAGCCAAAGGGAGGAGTGGAGTCCTGTGGCAGTAGGCGAGGGGGTGGGTGGCGGGTGAGTTCATTAGGACAGCAGTTGACACTGGACTCCCACTTAATCAAGGTCTGAGGGCACTATGCTGGTGGGCGAGGCAGTGAACCAGCCATGGGGTTGGAAGTCACGTCTCACATTAAGAGGCTGGGTAGCTGGAGGGAAGAGGGGATGCAGTGTTCTCTCCATGCAGTGCAGATCAATACCCCCCGTGATGACTTCCCTGGTGCCTGAGATCAGTTACAACAAGCACATTTAGACACTGGTTGCCTTGGCCACAGCAGCCTTCTAGAAAGGGTGGGCAGCTGGAAGATATGGGAGAGACTGAAGAAATCAGGTTCTTGGGGATTCTTCTTGCCTGGAATTAGAAGGCATGGGGCGGGTGGGAAAGGGCCCCACCAGGCTCGGCAAAAAAGGAAGCTAGGGACAGAAGAAAGGACTCTGCTTTTCCTCCCAACACCATGTGAGAGTTCAGAGCAGTTCAGTGCCCCTGGCAAGTCTGCTTAGTGGGAAGTCAGGAGGACAGAGCCCGGTACACTAATCCCAAGCATTACCCTGGCACCGTGGGGAAGGTCGGTGTTTAACCAGGCGCTGCTTATCTCCCCAGCTTCTCTAGGAAGGTAACTAAACAGATTTCATTTCGAAGTAATAAAACTTGCATTAAACAAATACACCGCATACTCGCACACACAGCATGCCACGCAGGTCTCCACCTTCTTCATAACAGTTAATCCCAAATAAGTACTTTAACTTCTGGTGAATATTGACTTAACATGCAATAACTGTCTTATTACGTTTAGCATATTAGACTCAACAAGAAAGTACTGAATGCACATGGAAGGATACTCTCCCTTCCCTTTCTCTGTGAATAAATAAATTAATTGCAAACCCAGAGTAAAGACGATAGTGATGATCAATTAGTATCTTACACGTAACTGTCCTCTTAAACCTCATTAGCAGAGCATATGAGAAGCTTAATTTAAGGTACTGCGTGTGGTTATTTTCATGCCGCTACCTGTTTGGAGTAACAAATCTCTCATCCTGTTTCCCGGGCCCTAGCACCTGCCCCTGTGTGGGGTCCCTGCCAGCCTACAAACAGAGCCCTGTGGTCCCAAGGGGCTTCAGAGGAGACTGTCATCTACTGCACAGGAAGAGGAGGACAAGTAAGAAGGGGGAGCAGATAAATCTCTTTCCCTCTCTTCTAATCGGGGCCCTCTTGCCCCTCACTACCCACCCTCCCCCCACTCTGTGCTAGAGTCATCCTCCAGAAGAAAGGAGGAAATCATGGCAGGCTTGACGTCCTGGAGAGAGGAAATAGGAGAACACGTGAAAGTCGGGGGCATATTTTTTCTTCCTTGGGCCCAGCGGTCCATCTAGGAGAGGACAAGGCTGGGAAGGGCCTGTTCAGCCGTTTCTGTAGGGAGTTAACGATGGCCTGGAGCCTTTTGGTGCACCGTCTTTTCTAGAACATTTTCTTACTCAGGGCTCATGTCCCGAAAGATAAGCTTTCCATATCAAGGACCTGGGACAAGAGGGATGGATGGGAGATGAGCACTGCCCAAGCGTCCAAGGCTGAGTGTCTGTTGTTGGCTCTGAATGCCCCACCTGGGAGGGCATGGTGCAGGGGAACAGGGGTTTGGCCGCAACTCCACGGTCTGTGTGCTCCCTTCTTCAGCACTGAACCTGACACCTCTCCCCACCTCCTCTCCCCGAGGTTTAACTTCATCCTGCGGTGGGCAGCTGTGGGCCGTAGAAAAGGGTGTGGGTTGGTAGGGAAGAACTGGGTGAGAATCCTAAGGAATCAGCACGCGGAAGAACCCCAATGGCTTCTAACCCTTCTTCCTTTTCTTCCTGGGATGCGGTGCCTGTGCCGAAAGATGGAGAGGCATCCTTGAGTGCATCTGTTGTAGGCATTTGTTCTCGGAGCTCAGGGAGAGAGGAAGGTAAAGGAAGAAGCAAGGGCAGCTGCAGGGAGTAGAAAGGCTTATATGGAGGAATGAGGGTCAGGCCAAGGCATATTCGGTACCTTAATAATACTAAGAGCGACGATTTACTGAGCCGTGATCGGGGCAGGCACTGTACGGGGCAGGCGCTGTACAAGACAGGATCCCGTGGCATCTCAGGTTCTCCTAACCAAGGGTGGGTCTTATCATTTCCGTTTTCTGGCCAATGACACTAAGGCTCAGAGAGGCTAAGTGACTCATCCACCAACACAGTGGCAGACCCGTGACTCAAATTCAGGTCAGCCTGGCTCCAAAGCTTGTGCCTTTGACCGTTCTGTTCTATTGCTTCTAGAATCAATGGAATGCCTTCCATGTGTTTTGGGGAGGGGGCATGGTAGACACGGCAGCCATGCGGGGGTGCACTTGAGGTTGCTGGGGGTGTGGGGAGATGCAGGGGCGAGGGTGGGGAAGTGCCAGCTGTGTTCCTAAGACTCTGAGAGCTGACTACCCATGCCCCCTACCTTCCTGGGTGCGGACGACCCCGGGCTGCGGTGCGTGAACCACTGCCTCCTTCAAGCCTTACAAGTCGGTGGGGTTCCTGTGGTTTGGTTTCTGGGGGCCTCCTGCCTTCTCGGCCTCCTCCTGGTGTCTCTGGTGGCTCGAGGCTTCCTTATACATCGTAAGGAGATGATAGCTGGGGATGCCTAAATTTTTTCCTTGCAAAATGAGGAGCTTGACTAATAACCATCCAGCTTCAACATTTGGACGTTCAACTCCTTCCTGGTTGAGAGGGAGCTTCTGGAGACACATTCGTGACACCCACAGGCTCTCTAATGGTAGGAACTGCAGTTCCATGGGGGCATAGAGCTTACTGCTCTGACGTCCTAAGGACCATAGATGCAATTGTAGAGATCATCTATTTCTCCACTCTCCAGATGAGACACTTGAGAATCTGGGAGCAAAGTCATTTGCCCAAAGTCACCCAGCTCACCAATAGCTGAGCTCCTGGCCCCAAGTCCAGTGCCCTCCCTGCCCTACCATACCGCCCCCCACAGCCTGGCAGCGATGGTGCCTTTCTCCCTCTGAGTGTGCACTCCTGGGGTGGGGGCACATGCACCTAACATCCAGCCAGCCATGACTGGTTCACAGGTGCAGCAGAGGAGATGGGGGGGAGACGGAGGTCTGAGGACCTGGGCTGAGTCCCTCTCACAGAGTCCCTGTCCCCCGAAGCGGCTGAGCTTCAGCCTCCACTTGCATCTTATCACCCAGAAAATGTCCTGTGATGGACTCAGCTCACCCTCCACAGACCGGTGGGGTGCTGATCGCAGGACTAAGTGGGGCCCTTTAACCAACATTAACCTAATTGCTGAGTGATAGATGGCGTGGCCCAAGCATATGGTGAGTCGTTACTGGGCCCGCTAATCCTGCCCGCACCCGGGGCACTGCACTGGCCCCTTTAGCCAAATTCATCTCTCCCAGACATATGTAACGATTACTCTTGCGGCTCACTGCCTGGGACGAGGCTTTAATGATGTTCACAAACTCCGAAGCCTCGAGAGTGGTAATGAGCCTGGCGCGGCTGGGAAGCAGGGCTGCACCAGCCGAGGTGCGGAGAGTGCCTGCTCCCTCCTGCCTGCCCCGCGCCCCTGAAGAACGCGATGCAGATTCTCCAGGGTGCCTGGCCACCAGTCTCGGCTGGGACCCCTGGCGACCAGTGGCCTCCCTGGGCTCCCCTCACATTCTCCTTCTTGTGTCTCTCGGCACTTTCTCCCCCGTGGCCCTGGGTGAGGGTGGTGCCTTTGATTTCAGAGATAGACTATTTCCTCACATTCCTACGGCACACCGTGGTCTCCCTTTCTCCATCTTACTGAATGTCCCCCAAAGCCCGTGCAGTAGGAATCATGATTTCCATCAGGCTGATGAAGGTCAGAGAGAGCGGACATTTGCTAAGGTCTCAGGGTTGGTGAGTAGAGCAGCCAGGACTTAGACCATGTTTACTCCAAATCTCATGAGCTCTCCACGTCCACCTGCTCAGGAGCCTCTACTTCTCAGCTCAAAGCCCTACCTGTTGCCCCCCAGACCCTTTCCTTTGGAGTTCCGTGGCTTCTCACCAAGCTGGAAACTTGGCCCGTGTCTAGAGGCTCAAGGCAGGTCCTTGAGGCCAAGGTGGATTTGGGGAGGGGGACCGAGTGTCTAGCCCAGCCTGGCAGGGCACTGACCGGGAAGAACTCTGCAGGCTGTCCTGCCTCCCGCCCCAGAGGCTTTCCCCTCCTCTTCTGGCTGCGAAGCACAACTTCTGCCAACTCCCTTCCCCTGTCCCTCATCTCTTTCCTGGAGACCCAGCCAGTCTTTCCTCCAAGATTCAGTCCTTGCAGGGATAAGGTTGTCAGGGGAGGATCCGGTCTAAAGGATCAGAATGGCTCCTTCTTGTCGCCACTGCAGGGGCGAGCAGACTCCATGTGGTCCTCAGAGTCTGGGGATTCACCCCTCTGACTCTGACCCTGCTCTGGGCCATGTCAGAATCGTGAGCCCTGGCCCCAGAGGCCACTCGCTGATGGATCATGGGATCTTCCGAGCACTCTTGTCCAGGAGCCTTGCCCCATCGCTCTTACGAGATGGAGAGCCCTGGAGGAGAAGTTCCAGCTCTGCCTAGGCTACTTGAGCCCGGAGTGAACTGCGGAAGTCCTTTCACTTCTCCACGCCTTTGGCTTTCTCCTGCTTTGGAAAGGGCGATAGCAACATGTATCTCTCAGAGTCCTTCCCAATTAAAGTGAAATAATGGATGAGAAAGTACAAGTACTGACAGAGATAAAGTGATGTCATTTTTCTGGTTGTTCCAGGAGGCTGGCTCTGGGGACGTCAGGGGGAGGGGCCTGGGGCCCCGGGGGGTGGAGCTAAGGGAGAGAAGCCCCGCCCACAAGCCCTGCTCACCGAGTGCTCCTAGCACCCATGGCCCAGCTGTGTTCTCAATGGAACCAGGGTGACCTGACCCCACTTTACCTGACAAATCATGCAGAATGATCTGGCTGCTCCCCCTCACTGTCTCTTGGGGGGAAGCATCCCTCCTGCCACACTCCCGCCCCCAGCTTTGTGACCACCTCCTGCCCACTGACTCCACAGCGGTCGCCACTGCCAAATGAACGCCCCAAATTGGAACATATGTCACTCCTGGAGCCCCGTTCGCCTGTCCGCTGCTACACGCCTATTTTCTAATTTCCAGCTGACACTTCCCTTAGTGAAATAAATGAATTTGCTCCGGCGGAGGCCCTGCTCGGGTTAAGCTGCTGTCAGAGCCCCATGAGCCAAACAAATTGTTGCCTGCAGCCCACCGAGGGCTGCATTCCAATGGGGGCGGGCAGGGGAGGGGCCGGGGAGACCCAGGAGGAGCCTGGGCTGGTTGGGAACATGGCTCAGTCACCACTGGCCAGGCGAAGACGGGATGCGGGGCAGCGCTGAGCCGGGAGCTCTGGTGCCATAGGAACCAGGGGACAGGGAATCGCATAGATATGAGCCTTCGGGAGAGGAGGTGGGGTAGAAGAGGGCCCTGGGCAGGCTTCTGGGGGCAGGGTCCACGGGAGGAGAGGGAATCCTGGAGAAGTCCCAGAGAAGGGCAAGGAAGAGTCCCCACCCTGAAGCTGCCTGGGAAAAGGGCGGGCCAGAGCGCGCTGGACTCACTGCTCAGCGATGATGTAATCCCCCGGCAAGGGGGTGCAGGGCACCCCAGCCACCTGCACGTGGTGGGCGATCTCAGAGAAGTCCAGGCCCAGGTTCACGCCATGGATGGTCACTCGAGTCCCTCCTTCAGGTGGTCCAGACACCGTCAAGATCTGCGGGAGGGAAATGGGATCACAAACCTGCGGGGCCACAGAGGAGAGGCAGCGGTGCCCTTGCCCTGCCCCGGGAGCCTGGGGGACCCCGTGCACACCCGGAATCTGGGGGAACGGAGCATGTTTTCCTCCACCTTTTAGCCTCTCTAGGCTCCTGACATCATCTCGTTTTATAGGACTTCCTCGGTTCCTGAGGTCATTAATTCATTCATGCATTCGTATACTTAAAAAAATTATCAGCAAGGCCTGGACGCGAGGCAGAAAATCCTTATTTGAGATGTGTCTCTAATTCGCTAGCTGCCTGAATGTGATCAAGTCACATCATCTCCTGAGACCCCAGTTCTTAGTTGTGAAGGCGGGGATAATCATCTCTATCAACCTGGCTTCGGAGCACCGAACAGGGCATGTCCAGGAGCTTTTTGTAAAGCGGAAAGGGCTTTCTAGTTGTAATGTGCGATTAATGCCGCTCCTGTCTGCTAGACACTGTGGGGGTTACAACGGTGAACAGGCAGGAAATCAGGAAATTTGCCCTCAAGTAACTTCTGGTCAAGGAGAAAGCGATAAAGGAAGCCATAAATAATGCTGATGCGGGGCACACAGTGATAAGATGGATTTGGAGGAAAGCGGTGGGAGCCCGGAGGAGTCCAAGATTAGGTACTGCTTCGGGGGTATGATGAAAGATGCGAAGTGTGTTTGACATTGTGCTGCAGAAAAATCCCAGGATGCCTGCTGGAACCATGAAAAACAATAACTTTAGGGTTTTCCAAATCTTGCTGGCTTCTCATTAGCAAGGATCATTCAGTTAGTTTCTAATTCAGTCACCAAAGGCTGTCTCATTTTGCTTTGACCCAAAACAGGAAAAGAAATCAAGCTCTCTCAAGGTATAAACGTCTGTCCAGGATTAGAGCAGGCTCTTGGAAAAATGCAGCTCTTTGGGATGGAACAGATAGAGTCCAGGGAGTAGGTTTATCCTTTGTGGTCCATACTTATCTGAAGTAGGAGGAAGTTAGACATGAACTCAATCACTGGAAGCAGGCTCAGAGTATCTTACACTAAGATTCTTGTACGACCTATACACATAGTTGTAAAAAAGTCTGAGGCTCTTTTCACTACACCGTAAGAAAGGCAAGACGGGGTGGGAGGGAAAGATGGAGAGAGGGAAGGTGGGTTGGTCAAGGCCAAGAGTCCACCAGAAATCTCCCAAATGGAGCTTGGGTCCCACTGGGAGCCTCCATTTAACCCTGTACATACTGGTGGAGCATCCAGTGGGCAGTGGGGTCAAGTGTGCCCCAGGGCAAAGATGATCGGTCAGCACAGGTGAAATGCTGTAGAAGGTTCTGGAAACTCTTCCCTCCTCCCTGCCCCCCAAAAGGGCACTGAACTCTTCCTGTGATGTGAGCACCATTAGTTGTACAACCAACTTGGCCATGAATGCCCAGGTGATGGTGGGCAGAGAAGAGATGATGGTGGGGAAGAGGACCGGAACAGGCCTCCCTCCCCACCCGGCCGACTCCTGGGCTCTCAGCAAGTTGGCTGCAAAGCCAGGACTTGAATTCAGACCTCCTGCCCCCATCTTCTTCTACAAGTCTTACATGGCATGGTTTCCCTCCCTCCTTGACGGGCTAGGCCATAAACTCTCTCATCTGGGGGCTCATTTCACCCAGGTCACCTTGTCTGAGGCTCTTGCTTCCTTCTCTGGGAATAAAATATCCCACCTTCTGAATAAAAATAAACAAGATTCATGAAAAGAATCAAGGGAAGGATCGTGGAGGTAGTTCAGAGGCATCTCTGTGTGCTGGGCGTGAGCCAGAGAAGCAGAACGCTATGGAGAGAAAGGAGCTGGCCTGAGGAACCAGTAGCCCCACAGCTTTCCTGCCCCAGGGGGATCTAAAAATAACCCATACGAGATCTTGGCTGTCGCACTCTCCCCTGGAACCTGAGCGTCCCCGGCTCTGCGAGACGGACCCTTGTTAATGAGGAACAGGGAAAGGGATGCCTCCATGCCCCTGCAGGAGACATCAGTCAGAAAGAATTTGCTCTGAGCAAATTCAAGAGCCCGGTTCTCCTCTGATCCACGAATGAGCTCCGCGGGCCCCTCTTACCCCTCCCCCAGGCACCTGGATGACAAGAACCCATCTACCAAAAAGAACTGACGAAACTGTGGTGATTGCTTTGCTCTCCTTCCCCTACTTTTATTCTTAAAAATACATTCTTTTGCTCGCTGCAGTTAATTACAACCTTTCAGAAAAACTGTGAAACGAAATCCTTCTGGAATGCCTAAAAATATTTCCATCTCGCAGGTAGCATGTGGGGATTGTATTGTGGATGTTCAGCAGCGTTGGCAGGACCCGTGAGGCAGCCTCCTCCAGCTGGTAAATCATCGAAGGGTCCCCTTCTGACATTCAAGGGTTGAGGTCCGAGATATGACCGTGGGCCCTGGGAGGGGCTGCAGGTCCATCTGCCAGAACAGAGTTGCTCAGAAGCATGTGCATGTTGCATAAGCCGGCATATTGTTTACAGAAGAAAGACTTTTTTTTTTTTAATTGTTAGCAAGTGTTGTAGTCTTAGCATGAAGACACGTGTCAAAGAGATAGCTAGTTTGGGGTGTGGAGACACCAGCCTGATCACTTGTAAGCTAGCTAACAGCTGCTGGAATCCAAACCTGGAGAATGAGAGTCCTCACCGGTCGTTGGAAAACGCCTGGGGGCTGCTGGGGCCCTGGGGGTCTTCTTCCCCACACAGCACCTGGGGTAGGTGGCAAAGGGGTTTGGGGTCAGGGCATTAAGCAACCAGCATGCCCTAGGGTTTACGAGGCACACAGCTTACATCTTCCTTGCTTGAAACAAAACCGATATGTAAAAGTCAGGATTTCCCAAACAGAGCTGAGGTGGTGAGCATTTGATTTGCACAAGCATTCCCCCGGTCTCCATTACTGATGACTTCCAAATCTATATTGTAGGCTCAGACCTCTCTGCTGAGCTCCATATCCATATATCCAATTGCTCCTGGACATCTCTACTTCCACATGTATGTCCCTCAGGCCCCCCAAATTTCACCGTGTCTAAAAATGAACTCTTAATTTTTCCTCCTTCCACCCCCAACCTGATTATCCTCACAGATTCTCTTTCAAGGTTAATGGGATCACTGTGCACCCAGCCAGGATCCTTGCAAGCACCTTCACCTGTCTCCTTTCCCTCACCTACCTACCATGTATAATAAATAACAGTCACCAGGCATTCTCAGATCTTATGCCCCAGCATCTTCTGAATCTGTGTCCCGCTCTGTGTTCCAGGGGCGGCGATAAGCAGAGCCCCACCACTTCTCACTTGTACTAACTGCCTCCATGGTCTAACGTTAGAGCTAACTTCCTGTTGCTACTGGGTGACCTTCATAAACACATACCTGGCCAGGTGACTAGTTGCTTGCTCAGAAAACCTTTAATGGCTCTGACCACTGTCAAGGCAAAGTCCCTAATTCCTGGCCTGGCACCCGTCCTTCAAGTTCTTTTTTTTTTTTTTTTTTTTTAAGATTTTATTTATCTATTTGAGAGAGGGAGAGCACAGAGGAAGGATGAGAGGGAGAAGCAGATTCCCCACTGAGCAGAGACCCCGATGCGGGACTTGATCCCAGACCCTGAGATCAGACCGATCTGATCGGCCTTGGCTTTGGGGGATTCTGGGCCCTGTGCGGAAGCATACTCTGAGCTTAACTGACTGAGCCACCCAGGCGCCCCTCGTCCTTCAAGTTCTGATCTTCATTACTTCTTCAGCCACATCTGCTATCTTATACTATGTCCTGTGCTCTCCCCAGCTTAAAATCAGAGTGAGTCAAGGTGGAGGTCTGGGCTCAGGTGGGAGGGAACAGAAAAAGGTATCCTGTCAGACACATCCCCTAATACCTGAGGGCTTCCAGGGGACTCGGAGAATGAGTAGAAGGGCCTTGATGTCTGGGCGGTGGCGTGGGGTGGTAAAAACCCAGGCCTCCTGCTTTCCTTGTTTCTCCCAGGACCAAGTACTGGGGAGAAGCTACAGAGGGCAGGCTTGATGAAAAAGGAATTATTCTCCAGAAAGAAAGTGAAGAGGATCTTTTCGGATACCACTTCAGACCAGGCAGCTGTGGGGTCCCTCGTCCACCCTAGAGATTGCCCACAAACAATCTTAAAAGCAGCATTAGATTGTAGGGTGCTCAGTGTAACATCTGCAAAGCTTGGTTCTCTTGGGAGAAGGACATAGATCTACAATGAGGCAAGTTGGTGGAGTCCTCTGCTTACAGAACTACAAAGGGGGCTTTCAGATCGGGAAGAAGTTGTGGGGCTCCAGGGCAGGGGAGAGCTAGCCTCCTACAGAGGTGAGGGTGAAAAAGCAGGATGGGAGTTATATAGATGCCTCCCACCCCCAAAGACAGAGGGGAACCAAGACAGGGCTGCGATGGTGGTCAGATCCACATGTCCTGGCTTCCAGTTTCAGAAGGCCCTTGCTGCTGGCTATTCTGGGAGAGGGAAGACAGCCTACCTGATCTCAGGGAGCACCTGCAGCAGGAAGAGGATAAGTCAGACCTGAATCTGAATGGTAGCCCTGACACGTATGAACGATGTGACCTTCGATCTCAATGTCCTTATCAGAAAACAGATAACACTACTTCCCTCCCAGGGATGTTCTGAAGGTTAAGGAAGACAACATCTGTAAAGTCCCTAATAGGACGGTGGTTTAGAGAGCAGGTCTTGACAATTGGCAGTTTCCTCTCCCGAGTTCCCCCTGCACCTATGGCTTCCCAGATCACGACAATGTGGGATGGCGGCGTTGGTGGGGAGTTTACAGAGGCTGGAAATCTTTCTGTTTGTCTGGAAGGAGGACACAGGGACCGGGGAACTTAGATGCTGGTGTGACGGAGTGGTACAGAGAGCTGCCCACGGGCTGACTGGAGAAAGCCTGAGAGGTGTCCTACAGCCTGAGCCTGTCCATGCTGCCGAGGACAGGGCCTTGGCTTTGGGGGATTCTGGG